CTTTATGACTTGTGGACTTCAACTCCCAGAATTCCTGAGGCAGCCATACTGGGAATTCTGGGAATTGATGTCCACAAGTTATAAAGGGGCCATAGACAGCATGGCTGCCTCAGGAATTCTGGGAATTGAAGTCTACGGGTGTTAAAGTGGCCAGAGTTGCCCACGGCAGACCTAGAGCAGTGGCTGAGATTTGGTGGTGGCATTAACTTGATTCTGTTGGATTTGGGGAAGGGGCTTGAAATCCATTTTGGTGCCTGCCATATCTTTCCACTGTGGGCCCTGGGGTCTAATGGGGTTTTGAGGGGGGGAGGGGAAGAGGAGGAGAAGGAGGAGGAGGAGGAGGAGGAGGATTATGCAGTCCTTGGTGCAATCTGAGCTTGGCTGTTTTCTTGCAGACATTTCATGACCCAGCTAGGTAACATCATCAGTGCTAGAAGGGAGCGGGAGGTTAGGGAGGTTGAAAAGAGGAGGAGGACTTGCTCCAGGTATCTTAAAATTTCCAAAATTGAAGAGCACTGCTTGAGATCTTCCATTTTTCTTCCCCCTTTTCTGATTTCTTGGTCTTGATCGATGGCGTTACTTTTTTTTTCACCCGTAAAGCCATACATTGAGCCGCATTCAGTTGTCCCAGTTTTCCTGAAAATGTTCTTTTTCTTTTCAGACTAGGCCGACCCCTCCTCACCTGACCTCAGCCATGGCCGAGAACATCCTGGCAGCTGCTTGTGAAAGTGAGACACGGAAAGCAGCCAAGCGGATGCGGCTCGAGATCTATCAGACGTCACAGGTACGAGACCCAGCATTGGACTATTTGCTGGCCTTGAGTATCCCAATAGGTTACCACTTTACCGCTTGCAGGAAGGCACCGTGTCCCACCGTTGATTCTGTACACTGGTTTCGGAATCGGGTTATTTGCAGGCCCTGAGTATCGGGATGGGTTACCCTTTTACTACTTGTAGCAAGGCACTGGGTCCCATCCTATACTGTACACTGGTTTCGGAATCGGGTTATTTGCT